GATAGATAGATAGATAGATAGATAGATAGATAGATAGATAGATAGATAGATAGATAGATAGATAGATAGATAGATAGATAGATAAGATAGATATTGGGTGTCTTCCAACAACAATTAAGTGATCACCAGCCAGATGAACAGGCAGGATTTAGACCTGGACGAAAAACGACTGAACATAATATTATCAACCTGAAAATACTGTGTGAGAGATACCTTCCACACTAACAGGACCTCTTTTATATTTTTGTTGATTTGCAGAAAGCATTTGATAGTATATGGCATGCAGCCCTCTGGTCCACAATGGAACTATACAACACCAGTGCCAATTTGATTAAAGTCTCAGAGAGCTTTTACTGCACAGCCAGCAGCACAGTATCCTATATTGGCAGTGAAGGAGAATGGTTCAAGGCAACAGTTGGAGTCAGACAAGGAGATCTGCTTTCACCTTCTCCCTCTAACATCTTCATTGTGTTCGGAAGGATTACTGTTCACTGAATAACCAGCAAGGAATGGACGCTAAAGAAATATCTTTTACAATGATGATGATGATTTTTTGTTGTTTCCTAAATGGGCCTGGCGGACTCCACGAAGAAATCTTCGAGCGAGAGCGAGGCTCTTTTTCGGCTCCATTTTCAATAATTAAATGCTTAGCTGCACCTCCACTCGTCCAAATAACTCCATTCAAATTGCCATTGTTCCTGGACATTCAAACATAATGATTGACATCCTCTTTTTCATGGCCGCATCTTCGGCAACATGGGCTGAGCTCTTCATTTACAAATTTCTTTTACCATTTTAAACTCAAATGATGGTCCGATCGCAGTCTCGCTAGCTCAACCTGGTCCCAGAGACATGTGATGGATTTTTGTTCCCGCTTATAGTACCCAGAATATACTCAAAGTGTCAAGCCCTTCCCTTCACGATGAGGAGTACCGTTCTCAACGAAGACGGTCACAACCAATGGGGAAGCAATGATGATGATGATGATGATGATGATGATGATGATGATGATGATGATGATGATGAGGATGATGATGATGAGGATGATGAGTGTCTTCCAACAACAATTAAGTGATCACCAGCCTGATGAGCAGGCAGGATTTAGACCTAGACGAAAAACGACTGAACATATTATCAACCTGAAAATACTGTGTGAGAGATACCTTCCACACTAACAGGACCTCTTTTATATTTTTGTTGATTTCCCTCTGGTCCACTGTGTATAATACATATTTTCTGGAAATACAACAAGGTCTTAACTGTTTTAATACCTTCTTTATACAATGATGAGGATGATGATGATGAGGATGATTTTACCACGTTCTTTTTTTTTTTTTTGAGTGGTATGTTCATAATCGTGATAATAATAATTATGTGCATCAAACATGCATTGTCTGAGAAGATGTGCGTTAAGAAAATGCCATGACATTGAAACATCAAGAAGAGAGAGAGAGAGAGAGAGAGAGAGAGAGAGAGAGAGAGAGAGAGAGAGAAAGAGAGAGAGAGAGAGAAAGAGAGAGAAAGAGAGAGAAAGAGAGAGAAAGAGAGAGATAAAGAGAGAGAGAGACTACGACACTGTACCTACCCATACAGGTCTCGCACTTGGCATAGTATCGAGTGAGCCTTTGGAGCTGGTAAAAGGACTCCTCATAGCCGTTAGTGTATTCCGGATAATCTATTCTGAGAAAATCGAAAAGAGGGGGGGGGGGGAGATAGAAAATTACTTTAATACATCCAGTAGTAAAAATTTGTACTACAGTGGTATTATGAGATTACTAGACATGCATCATATGTTATCTAAACTTTTAGTGAGAGTTTTACGGCACTTGCAACACGATTAGGTCATATAAATGCGAAGACTAATGGTGTCACCTTTTACTTGAGAGTAATGTATAAAGAATACATTATGGTAGAGAGATAGTGACAATAGGTATTTGATAGGCGAGAAGGAGCAAACCGTACCAGAGCACCCACCAACCACTCATTATTGGATATATTATATTTTTTTAATATATGAAAAGAACTTTGCAAGATAGGGGGAATCTTTTTTTTTGTTTTGTTTTGGTCACTCTGCCAATAGAAAGGAAATTCAAATCTCTAGCAGGAGAGAAGTCGTTGTTTTTTAAAAATTCAACTGAGTAATTATAATAATTT